GTTTGTTTTCTAGAATTCTCTTCATTCTAAAATTTATTTTATAGCTGCCTAACCTTTAAACAGTGGGCACCGCATCCCAATATTCATTTCATCTATCCCCAGATATAGAGAAATACACGTTGATAGTTACTAATGATGGAATTCCTTGCACGAACTCAGGACACTGGGCTAGGAATTCTCCATTAAGATCGCAAGCTGGGATGCAAATGTACAAGATTGCTAGTTGATGTTCAATAATGGATATGTAACAAAAAGAATAAATCCAACGAATGAAAACTTTCATTATTACTTCTGGCAGCTTTGAAGTAAACAATCCATGAGTTAATATCATTCATTCAGTTGTAGAAGGGGCAACAGCAACAACATCAATATCAATTAGCAAATATTCTCCCAAAAGAATGCAGTAAAATCTCCACTAGATTATCCCACATTCATTGACAATAATTAAATACACACAATTGTTAGTCCTTGGAAATTTCAACAACAGTCTCAATGCATATAATATGTATAACTAGGATCGAGTAGCAATAAGAAATGGAAGGCAGAAGAATATATCAAGGTGTATAAATAACAGACAATAAAATTTTCAAAGAAGGTGATATTCTTGTACATTTAGGACTTATTCAAAGCAAATATTTGAAAACACAGTCACAGGCAGACAGCAAAACGAAAAAAGATAACTTAAGAGGACCTCTAATACAGGAATTTCAAACCTGTGCATGAAATGACTACATCATGTACTCCAAAACTATACAACTCAATGAACTTAGAATAAAGCTCCTCTGCCAGAAAATGGTTTACATCCTACATGACAGATACACACGTGTGTGGGTCCTAAGCCGATCCCCAATATAAACTTGGGGAAACACCCTACTGTATGACCAGCACGGTCCATGAACTTATTCAAATATAAACTGCATTCCTAGCAATAAATGAACAATACATCTTTTCACTCAAACAAAACCTTTATTCGGAGAACAATTCACACTAGTAAAACCCTCTGAGTACACAGCAATGATCTGATTTTCATGTTAACTAACCAAAATTAAGTGTGTGCGCAAATGTATCAGAAAAAGGTTACACATAACTCATATTCAACTATAAGAAAACCAAGTTATACTATGTAGGCATAACGAATCTGTAATACAGTAATACTCGCAATGAATTGAAAAAGTAAAGCACGTTAATATACCAGTTAAATTCAAATGATATTTCAAAATTATTAAACTATCCGTGGATTGGATACTAGGACTACAAATGCAGTGCCAAAACGTACCACAGTACTGAAACAGATTGAAATTAACGAAATCAAAACAACAATGAAAATAAGAAACCCTTAAAAGAGCCAAAGTGATCGATGCTCGGGAAATCATGGGACAGGACTACTTGGATCTCTGCCTCATCTTTCGACGCTTCCTCTTCAACCTCCTCATCCGCTTCTTCTTCCACTGTTATTGTTCGTAACAATGTAGATTGATTAAATATCATATACACAATAATTAAGATAAAGTACAGAGAAAATGAGATAGATAATCGAACAATATTTAATAAATTTAGTGAAATTTAGCAGATTTTACCTTGGCTCTCATGGTTAGGGAGATAAATAAAACTCGATGCCTCTTTTCAGAACCCTAGAAGTAATTCGGGAGGGAAATAAAGTGAGCATTTCCTAGGGTTCTCGCTCTATTTATAGCAAACCTTAGCCCATGTACGAAAGAGTTTTGGGCTCGGAAGGCACTGCCGCACTGGGCAGAGGAAGGTCCAGTCCAACTCCACCTGTTTAGGGCGCGCTATAATATTTCATTTTGTTTTATATTTTTAATTTTCTTCCTTCCTTCAAAAGCGATCAAGGTTCTCATCACTACCATAGTACCATTCACCCCATCATTTTCCTGGAGAGATTTTCACTTTTATCATGATCTTGACTTTATTTTTCTTTTAATCTGGTAGTTTTTCTTCACTTCTTGTCTACACTCGTTCAATTTCAAATCCTATCTAGTATTAATACGAAGTATCAAATATATTTTGGTCATGTTCGGTAATGATTATAAAAATTAATTTTTTGAGCGTTAGAGAGAAATGTGAATTCCACTTGTAAGTGAAAAAGTCAAAAATGACAATTATAATAATGAAATAGCGGTTAAAAAATCAATTTTTTGAGGTGAAAAATTGCTACCAAATGGAGGTTTTATAAACTAACACTACTATTATATTGTATTCTCGAGAAGTTAGAACTAACACCTCCCCTCTCTCTAAACCACCACCGCTCCACCTTGATCATGTAAGATTTAGATCTTGATCCAACCACCACCATCTCTACCACCACATGTTCCTACCTCTATCGTCACAACCACAACCCCCATTATTTGAAACATATTCGTATTTTTACTTTTATCATCATCTCTGATATGATATTTTTCTATTTTAAGAGATTAGTTTTTTGTTGTGATTTGTGATGGTATGAGATGGGAGATGGCCAGTGATTGTGAGATAGTGATGGTGGTGGCGATGAGAGTTTTTGATGGTGATGAGATGGGGTGATTTTGTTTGTGTTGCATTGTTGGTTGGAGATGGTTGATATATGTGTTTGAAATTTGGATCTAATTACTATATAAAATCTGAAATCAGGAAAGTGGCGGGCGTGCAACATTGTGTTGCATAGTTATGGTGTTTGTGGTTCGACGTCGGTAATATAACAATGCATGTTACAAATGGAGGTGACAGTGTAACAATAATGGTGTATTTAATTGACTTTATTTTTATGAAAAATATCATTTTTTCTCTCAAGTTCCTATTTTAAAAATATTTTCTTTATGGAGGGTAAATTTTTATTTTCTAGGCAATTCACACCTTCAAAAAACTCAACTTGATATATATAAAAAAAAATATAATATTTTTTAGATTAAAAATTAAATTAAACATATTTAATTGACAATTTTCATGCAAATAAGAGTATGTTTGATTGCAAGCATGGGATTTACATGGGTAAAAAATAAATTCTTAGTCAATTGAATTGCCTATAATTTATTTACATGAAAATTATTAATTAAATGTGTTTGATTGATTTATAATTTTCAATTTACAACACGTTATATTTGTTTATCTTTTAATTAAGTTCCTACTTTTTGGATGTTCGATTGGTATTTTCTATAGAAAATATTTTTTTTCAAAAGTTGATCACTTGACCATATTTTCCATAATAACAAGAAAAACGTTTTCTTTAGCCAAGGGTAAATTTTTATTTTCTAGGCAATTCTCTCTCTCTAATACACACACACACACACATCTATACTATATCTCTCATTTATCCACTAATAAAACAATGAAAAATAAAATATTTTTCAGGTTGAAAATTAAGTCAATCAAACACCGTTCATCGACAATTTCCATGCAAACAAATCTTAGGCCATTTAATTATTTATCACTTATTTTATTTTCAATGAAAGTTCCTTGCTTGCAATCAAATGCACCTTAAAAATAAATGTTACAAGTTGTGAGCTGACGGTGATGGTGACAACGGTCTTGATGACAATTAAAATAGGCTGTAAAATGTACACATACTGAGTTACAAAATAGTTATGGCAACCCTGGAAATAGGGGTGGAGATTGTGACAGAATTTTGTAATTTAAATTACAAGTTTGTAAATAATAATAATAATAACACATAATATGATAGGAATAAAAATAATTTAAAAGTAGGTACAAAATTAGTAAATATTTAATGCATTTGTCAACTATAAAAAGCATTTCTAATTTATATTTAAAATCACCTTTGCATTTTCATTTGTTTCTGGATGGATCAAAATTCAAATTTTATTCTAATGGAAAGATCAAATCTACTTTTGCCTCTTATGAATATAAAATTAGATCTCTTTTATATTTTCTGTCGAAATTTTCACTTTCTTTACGCTGGAGAGGTTTTCTGTCAAAATACTTCCAAGTATATTGGAGAGGTTTTCACTATACGGTTGAGAGGCAAAGCAATAATTCTGGTAGTTTTCAGTTTATCTAAAACTTTATTTATGTTGTTATTTGTATTATTCATTTGATAGATGAAAGATGAATGTACTTTTATGATATCTTGAAATTGTAGCTCCATTATTGCTGATTGTAGAAATTGATAGTGTAGAATTGGATAATTGAATTTTTCTGGTGAAATTTTTGTCTTGCGGTTGATTTGAACTGTTTAGATGATATTGTTGAAATTTCCATTTAATCCCTCCCTCAAAGAGGAAATATTTATTTTTCTCCCAATAACACTAATAAAACCAGAACATAATAAAGTTAAGACTGTAAGGTGTAAAATTATGATAAATGTAAAAACATAGAGGGTAATTAGCACAAAAGGTCGATATCTTTCAATATTATTGTGCAAAAAGTCCTTATCGTTCATTTTTTTTTGGCATTTTCATCCTTATTTCCACGTTTCATAGTGGAAAACGTCATTTTTACCAATTTTTAACATAAAATGACAAATCGACCCTCCTATTTAAATGAAATAAAAATAAAAAATAAAAAATAAAGAAAAAATTGCAATCTTACTCTTAAATTTTTCAAAAAATGCAAATGAGTCCAAATGCAAAAAAGAAGCAAGGACGAATAAATAGAAAAGATCTGATAGTGAGTGTGCCAAAGCAAAGTGAAGAAGCACCACCACAACACCAGTCTCCCCTCATCGGCTCAACCACTAATTGCAGCAAACTCAATTTATCCTTCTCTTTGACTGGCAATGGATGGATCAAAATTCAAATTTTATTCTAATGGAAAGATCAAATCTACTTTTGCCTCTTATGAATATAAAATTAGATCTCTTTCATATTTTCTGTCGAAATTTTCACTTTCTTTACGCTGGAGAGGTTTTCTGTCAAAATACTTCCAAGTATATTGGATATCAAAAGAAATAAATCAGCAAAGAGAGGGGATCAAGAGGAAGAACAAAGGCTTTCGAGTTTCACTATACGGTTGAGAGGCGAAGCAATAATTCTGGTATTTTTCAGTTTATCTAAAACTTTATTTATGAAAGATGAATTTACTTTTATGATATCTTGAAATTGTAGCTCCATTATTGCTGATTGTAGAAATTGATAGTGTAGAATTGGATAATTGAATTTTTCTTGTGAAATTTTTGTCTTGCGGTTGATTTGAACTGTTTAGATGATATAGTTAAATTTCCATTTAATCCCTCCCTCAAAGAGGAAATATTTATTTTTCTCCCAATAACACTAATAAAACCAAAACATAATAAAGTTAAGACCGTAAGGTGTAAAATTATGATAAATGTAAAAATATAGAGGGTAATTAGTACAAAACGTTCCTATCTTTCAATGTCATTGTACAAAAAGTCTTTATCTTTCATTTTTTTTTTGGTATTTTTACTCATATTTTCACGTTTCATAGCGGATAACGTCATTTTCACCCATTTTTAACATATAATGGCCAATCTACCCTCCTATTTAAATGAAATAAAAAATAAAGAAAAAATTGCAACGTTACTCTTAAATTTTTCAAAAAATGCAAATGAGTCTAAATACAAAAAGGAAGCAAGGACAAATAAATAGAAAAGATTTAATAGTGGGTGCGCCAAAGCGGAAGCACCACCACAACGGCAGCCTCCCCTCGTCGGCTCAACCACTAATTGCAGAAAACTCAATTTATCCTTCTCTTTGACTGATGGTCCCTTTGGGTCCAGTGTCATTACTTCAAATTTGCTATCTTTCCATCTATCAACATCTCTTTTTTATTTCTTCCGGTATCGTTCCTTTTCTCTTTTACCTGTTCTTCTCTAGTTTACATCCTTAATAATTCTTGATGGAAACTTTTGAAGTAGACCTGTTTTGGTGATTAAGTAATTAAAACACTATTCAAAAATAGTAATTCTTGATGAAAATATTTGAGAGGGAGGTATTTTTTTGTGAATAATTATTTAAAACACTATTCAAAATTTTGGAATATATTTCATCTTATAAATATAATAATATAATAGGAATACATTGATTTCCCATTTAATGGCAATTGGCAAGCATACTTCAAAGATTAGAAATGTATGTTGATTGTTATGACTTCAATTATTTTGAAAAAACAAAATATTATTTCAAGAAGTCTTCCCTGCATTGTACTGGAGTTTAAGGTGGAACTAGCACTTAAGACTTCTTCCTTTTTTTTTTTAATAAAAAGAAATTGGACTACGTATTAATTAATTTCCGTGTTTAAAGCCACGGTGTCAAGTCTCAGAATCCTATTAAAGTTACAGACGACAAAGAAGATGACTCCAGCTGCATCTAAGCTTTACACAGGTCCCTTCTTTTTTGTATTTGTACTCATTCGCACTTTTTAAAAAGTTTAGGAGTAAGATTGCAATTTGTTCTTTATTTTTCTTTTCTTTTTTTGTTTTATTTAAATAGGAGGGTATATTGGTCATTTTACGTTAAAAATTGATGAAAATGACATTTCTTCAATGAAATGTGGAAATAGAGGTGAAAATACCAAAAAATAAAAGGTAGAGGCATTTTATACAATAACATTAAAATATAAGAACGTTTTGTGCTAATTACCCAAACATAGAAATGCGATTATAATTTCTGCTTACAAAATCATTAAATTATAAAAGTTTAATGGTCACTTGAACATATTTACTATTTCAATTAGCCCAAATCTCTTTAAAATTTTTGGTATTACATTGAATACATTACATATGGATTGAACTAAAGTGTACTTATGTTGAAGAGTAGAATGTTCATATACTACCAACTCAAACTTTTAACACTGACATGGCGCTATGCATCAAAAAGTCAAAGATTGGCTTATATAATAATGGCGTGTTTGGTAAAACAGAGTAGATAATAATACTACAAGTATTAATTAAGAAGATCTAACCTAATCAAATAATCATAGAATATGAAAAATTATCAATAAATTATATATTTTTTTATATGTATAATAAAATAAAATTATTTGTATGATTTCAATTTGTTTATATTCATTTCATTTTTTTTTTTTACATTTATTGTTTTTGACATTCAATTTCTGGTAATTATTTGTTTTAAATAAACAACTCAAAATAGGGGGAAAATGAATTAAGCATGATCGTTAAAAAATTCCTTGATGGAATTAAACTTCAACACGATTTTTCTAATATTCTGTCAATTCTGGGCAATTAATGTTGCCCTACATGAAGAAAGAATGGCAGCCATACCATGAGAGACCTCAAGTGTGAAACCTCTCCGCTCTCAGCATATAATTTTCAAAGTCATGAAAAATCAAGTCTTTATATCTTTATCTATGTGTATATATAGCCAAAATAACTAGTATACTGCAATTCCCGCGATGGAATATGTAAGCAAATTTTTAAAACTCTGACAAAAAACGAATTCATTCCACTCTTATCCATACATATTTTTGAATACTAGGCTCTTTTTTAGAGGGTGTTTAGGAGCCATTTTTATGTAAAAATGCATTTTGAAATAGTAAATTGATGAAAAATGTGTGGTTGAAAAATAAAGAAATTTTTTTTGATTTACGTGTAATATTATTTTAATGAAGAATGTGTGGTTGAAAAGAAAAGAGAGAAAAATACATTTTAAATTTAAAAAAAGGGTAACAAACGGGGCATAAATTTTATGACTCTTGATTTGAAAAGGAAGAAACTGAATAATTAAGGTCCTGTTCTCTTTACCGTTTTCGGGCCGTTTTCTGTTTTCGATTTTTCAAAAATACCATGAGAGACCTCAAGTGTGAAACCTCTCCGCTCTCAGCATATAATTTTCAAAGTCATGAAAAATCAAGTCTTTATATCTTTATCTATGTGTATATATAGCCAAAATAACTAGTATACTGCAATTCCCGCGATGGAATATGTAAGCAAATTTTTAAAACTCTGACAAAAAACGAATTCATTCCACTCTTATCCATACATATTTTTTGAATACTGGGCTCTTTTTTAGAGGGTGTTTAGGAGCCATTTTTATGTAAAAATGCATTTTGAAATAGTAAATTGATGAGAAATGTGTGGTTGAAAAATAAAGAAATTTTTTTTGATTTACGTGTAATATTATTTTAATGAAGAATATGTGGTTGAAAAAAAAAGAGAGAAAAATACATTTTAGATTAAAAAAAGGGTAACAAACGGGGCATAAATTTTATGACTCTTGATTTGAAAAGGAAGAAACTGAATAATTAAGCCTTTAGTAATTGTAAGTCATTTATGTCAATTCCAAACAAAAGTCCTTTATAATCCTGCCAGCTGGTCAACCCACCTAGTCATATAATTTATAAAGCCAGCAATCTAGACGAGCTCCTCAATGCAACTTGACTTACATTTGCATCAGTCATCAACCGTGTCAAAATGAGAATTCCATTCTCTCTATTGTTTCTTTTGATCTCTGTACTCTCAAATTTATGCATCATTAATGGGGCTTCAGCACACAGTCAATGCCTGGAGGATCAGAAAATCTTGTTACTTGGAATGAAAGATAACTTTAAGTTCGACTATGTTATGTCAACTAAACTGGTTGCATGGAATCAGAGCACTGACTGCTGCCTCTGGCATGGTGTATCTTGCAATAATATTGGTCAAGTTATCGGTCTTGATATTTCCTCGGAAGCAGTATTTGATGGACTTCAAAATTCAAGTGGGCTTTTTGGTCTCAGATATCTCCGGAGGCTGAATTTGGCCTTTAACAGATTCAACAACATTCAGATTCCAAACGTGATTTATAATCTTGTGAATTTGACATACTTGAACTTGTCAAATGCTGGTTTCGTTGGACAGATTCCAATTGGGGTTTCGAATATGACGAGGTTGGTTACTATGGATCTCTCTACCCAATTCCTTGGGATTCAGCAACTGAAACTTGAGAATCCAAATCTGACTACGCTTGTTCAGAATCTTAAAGATCTTCAAGGACTTTATCTTGATGGTGTTAATATATCAGCTCCGGGGAATGAATGGTGCCGGGCTTTGTCTCCGTCTTTACCAAATTTAAGCAAATTGAGCTTGACTAGATGTCATCTTTCGGGCCCAATAGATTCTTCCTTCTCACAGCTTCATCTTCTATCAGTTCTCCACCTTGACAACAACGATCTGTCCTCAACAATCCCAGACTTCTTTGCAAATTTCACAAGATTGACAAGCTTAAGCCTCAGCTCTTGCTCTTTGCAAGGATTCTTTCCGGATAAAATCTTCCAGGTACCCACTCTACAGAATCTGGATTTGTCAAATAATGAGTTACTCAACGGCAATCTGCCCCAATTTCCTCAGCTCGGATCTTTTAGAAGAATCATTCTTAGCTACACTAACTTTTCAGGTCCAATGCCTGATTCCATTGGCAACCTTGTAACATTGTCTAGGATTGATCTGTCCCATTGCAATTTCAGTGGACAACTTCCGTCCAAGATGACATATCTCACCGAACTCATTTATCTGGACTTATCATTTAACAATCTCACTGATTTTGTTCCATGGTTCAATATGTCCAAGAAACTTACCTATATAGACATCTCTCATAATGGTCTAACTGGTTCACTTTCTTCCAGGCATTTTGAGGGACTTAATGATCTTGTATATGTGAACTTAGGGTATAATTCACTTAGTGGAAACATCCCCTCTGCTCTGTTTGTGCTCCCATTGCTGCAGAAACTCCGACTGTCTAACAATCAATTTGGTGGCCGAGTCAATGAATCTTCGACTACGCCCTTCTCTCAATTGGATAAGCCTCAGCTCTTGCTCTTTGCAAGGATTCTTTCCGGATAAAATCTTCCAGGTACCCACTCTACAGAATCTGGATTTGTCAAAAAATGAGTTACTCAACGGCAATCTGCCCCAATTTCCTCAGCTCGGATCTTTTAGAAGAATCATTCTTAGCTACACTAACTTCTCAGGTCCAATCCCCGATTCCATTGGCAAGCTTGTAATGTTGTCTAGTATTGATCTGTCCCATTGCAATTTCAGTGGACAACTTCCGTCCAAGATGACATATCTCACCGAACTCATTTATTTGGACTTATCATTTAACAGTCTCACTGGTTTTGTTCCATGGTTCAATATGTCCAAGAAACTTACCTATATAGACCTCTCTCATAATGGTCTAACTGGTTCACTTTCTTCCAAGCATTTTGAGGGACTTAATGATCTTGTATATATGAACTTAGGGTATAATTCACTCAGTGGAAACATCCCCTCTGCTCTGTTTGTGCTCCCATCGCTGCAGAAACTCCGACTGTCTAACAATCAATTTGGTGGCCGAGTCAATGAATCTTCGACTACGCCCTTCTCTCAATTGGAGACACTCGATTTAAGTAGTAATCTTCTAGAAGGGCCAATTCCCGAATTTTTCTTTGAACTTCGAAAACTTAATGCTCTCTTACTTTCTTCCAATTTCTTTAACGGCACTCTACAGATGGCAAATATCCATAAAATCCAAAACCTCACGAGACTGGAGCTTGCTCACAACCGCTTGTCAATCAATACAAGCAATAGTTCTTCGAGCTCATATTCGTTTCAACAGCTAACCAGGTTAAACTTAGCTTCCTGCAACCTACAAAGTTTTCCTGACCTGAGCAGCCAATCAAAAATATCCTTTTTAGACCTTTCAGACAATCAAATTAAGGGGGAAATACCTAATTGGATTTGGGAAGTTGGACGTGGAAGCCTTGTTCAGTTAAATCTTTCTCACAATCTCCTAGGAGATCTGAAAACACCTTACAACATTTCCAGTCTTTTGATTTTAGACATTCATAGCAACCAGCTCCAAGGTGATCTGCCAATCCCTCCGCCATCAGCTATCTATATAGATTACTCCGGGAATAATTTCAATAGCTCCATTCCGGCTGATATTGGCAACAGTGTTTCGAATTCTTTTTTCTTCTCTCTTTCAAATAATAGTCTAACGGGATCTATACCTGAATCCATATGCAATGCTAGATACCTTAAAGTTCTTGACTTTTCCAGCAATTCCTTGAGCGGCAGAATACCTAACTGTCTACTATCAAATAATAGTCAGACTCTTGGGGTACTGAATCTAGGAAGAAACGTCCTCAGCGGCACCATTCCTAATACATTTTCTCCCAGTTGTGGTCTAAGAACTCTAGACTTCAGTAGGAATAATTTATCAGGACAGATTCCAGGATCCCTGGCCAACTGCAAATTGTTAGAAGTCGTGAGTATTGGAAACAACAACGTTGAAGACAAATTTCCATGCATGTTGAAAAATTCATCCAACTTACGTGTCCTAGTTCTGCGATCCAACAAATTCCATGGAGGTATTCGGTGTTTTCCTGGGGCAAATAACAGCTGGCAAAATCTTCAAATCATTGATATTGCTTCTAACAATTTCAGTGGAAATCTATGCTCAAAATGCTTCTTAAGTTGGAGAGGAATGATGCTCGGAAATGATGGTGAATTTGATCACAACGACCTGAGGTTTGACTTTCTGAATCTGAGCAACTTTTACTATCAGGACACTGTGACGGCAACCATTAAAGGGTTAGAACTGGAGTTTGTGAAAATTCTCTCAGTTTTAACGGTCCTTGATTTCTCAAGCAATAATTTCCAAGGAAAGATACCAGACACTGTTGGGAATCTAAGTTCTCTTTACAGTCTCAACTTTTCAAAGAATGTTCTCACGGGCCAAATCCCAAAATCAATTGGATATCTCACACAGCTTGGATCACTGGACCTCTCAAATAATCAGCTAACTGGAGTAATACCGGAAGAGCTCACAAGCCTAACATTCCTTTCATTCTTGAATCTGTCCAGCAATATGTTGTTTGGGAAGATCCCCCAGGGTCGTCAATTTCAGACTTTTTCAGAAGTCTCCTATGAAGGAAATACGGGACTGTGCGGGTTTCCATTGGAGAGGAAATGTGAGGGCGTCTCACTCCCAAGTCCTGAGGACATGAACAATGTGAAGACAGATATCAATTGGAATTATGTATGTGCTGCACTGGGATATAGCGTCGGACTTGGAATGACTGTATGGTTAAACTTTTTGTTTGTTTGGTGATTTAGGTTCCTTTTGGGGGTGTTTGATAATAAATTATGAAAAAGTATACCTTTTTTCATATTTTGAGAAGTAGCAAAAGAATTTTCAAATTCTGTTTTCAGCTTTCCATTTGTCTATGTTTGAACTGCCAATTTTAAACTAATTAATTATATTAAAGTAATTCCTTTTATGTTCTACATTTATTAGTATTCAAATAATAAAATTATCTTTATTCCATAGTTCACGTTAAAGGAAATTTTTTCTTATCATGTGAAAATGGAAAAATTGTGAAATGGAATTGTTGCAAGTCAATGCATAAAAGATAAGTTAAATTTATTTGAATACTTTTCTACCACATGGACTATGCTTTTATTTAATAAATTTTATAAATTTTGAAATTTAATAGATGTTATTGTTTTTATTCAAAATAATTATAAGGGATACATTGTCTTAGAAAATTTGATAGTATTGTTTATTATATATATATCCATCAATAAATTAGTATAATATGTCACTAGTGCTAAGCATAAGATGAATATCGGTGCTCATCCATCGATAAATTTGGACAGCGGGACGGAATAACATATACCAAGAATTAATTTATAGAGACTATTATAATAATTATTATTATTGAAGGATTATAGGGATTGGAGACTATTAGATAGACACCGTTTTAAGTAATCGAGTATATCACTTTTATAGGTTTTAAAAACAGAAATCAAAGTACAATATCCCTACATTTCACTATTATTGTGGAAAATATCCATATCTTCAAAGTCCCTTCATGTTTGTACTCTTGAGTTCCAACACTCATTAAGCAAATGAAATCTATGATTTAAAAAGTAATTAAAAGAAATCGATTATCCAGCTGAGCAAACCTTTATATACAACTTCTCTGCCTCCTTATAATCTTTCAGTTTCAATATGCAAGCTGCATTGTTCATGTTGCAAGTAATCTTCAGTGCTTTGAGTTGTTTCATTTCCTCCTCTCTGAAAGAAGTGTCACACCCAATGTGAGGCACATGACTTAAAGTTACACTGCAAATACTATTTTGCTATCAAATCAAAGAACCCTGCTAGAAAACCAGGGCCAATGTGGCCCTGGATTTCCAGGGGGCTGTTCTGGCCTTGAATGACGTTCTCATATATTTCCCAACCTTGAACAACATGTTAACTTCTTTCTTTTTCTAACCGGCAACCTCAACTTTTTCTTGGGTATTCATATCCCAAGAAACTAAATGTTAATTTTCAAAAAAAGAAATAGAGGAGAAAATGAGTTGAAATATGGAAGAATGAGGAAAAATGATGAGAATATCCTTCATTTGACTTAGAAAATGGATGGGAGAGATAATTAAGGATAAAATTCCAAAAAAAAGGGAAAGTTGGAACATTTCTCACAATAATAATGAATGGTATGGACATTATGCGCAAATTACCCTTTCAAAAATTATAGGGACATTTTTCTGGGATAAATTTTGCATATCTAATTTCTCTAAATAATTTAATACATATACTATCCTTATGAAAAAAATAAAATAAAAATATTTCGTCTTTTTCTCAAGCCAGTCCCTCTCCATGGTGGCTGGGGTCGCGGAGGCTGCAGTGATATATGAAAGATATTCCTAAAAATATTAATGTAATTTAATTTTGAAATTTATATGATTAACAACTTTTGCGAATATTAGGAAAAAGATTATTTCATAAAAACTCTCATTCTTAGACATATATCAAAATATAACATGAACAACATATTGAATAAAATTGTTAAGATTATATTAAATGGAGGTATTTAATATATTTGTATGTTGCCCTCCACAATAAAAATGTCTTGAAAATTTTAGCAAATGATGGTTATATTCACCAATTAATTTACAAGTACGAATTTTTTTTAACAAAATTGGTACAGAATGACGGCTATTTTCATATTATTTGCCGTGGGCAAAAATTATTTATGACAAAAGCCAATAACAAAATGACGGCTATTTTTTTCTACAAATTTTGTAAAAAAAATCTGTACTTATAGCTTTGTTCTATATTCACATCACAATTTTTTTT